TATTCAAGCGCAGACGTGGTACCACTTCGCTGTTTCATGGAAAATCCAATCATCCACATTTAGAATATTCAAAGATTGCAAAGARATCCACAGTGAAACTTTGTCAAAAGCCAACATTTCATGGTATCGTAGTTCAAAAATCATTGAAATAGGACGAGTAAGCTCGCATGTTGTAGATCGTCAATTCTTTGGTGAAGTTATGGACCTGTATTTCATCGACGGTGCAATAAACAGCGAACAGTTGGCCAAGCTCCGAGGTAGGAAGGCGAGAGATCAMAATTCCTTAACATTGTGCTCAAGTGCAAGCCTATTATAGTCTGACGATTTGTAATTCAAAAAAAATCGAAAAAGAAAAAAAAAATCATCCGTCTGCGCGACTATCGTTTTACGTATAAAACAAGTCTTCTTTAATCACGGCTTATATATCACAACTAGTCCTGATCATATTACAAATGGTTATGGACCAAGCCGTCGTCCTACAATTAAGCGGRTTGACACGTAGTCTCCTTCGCAGCCTCCCCTTTTGTCGGGCTTCCGACAAAAGGGGAAGCTGCGAAAGAGACTAGTTGACAAGACACTTCTTCTTCTGTCTTATTTGCAGGCTGCATGTTGGGTACGTCGTACAAGATGATGTACAGCGATACCATAGACAACCATGCCATTGTTGGTCCTCTGTTGAAGTCCATCAACACAAACAACGACAACGAGTGCAAAGATGCCTGCTTCATGCACGTCCCTGATGTATGCTACATGTTCAACTATTATCCACAGACCAAGAAATGTGAGATGTTCTACAAAGATAATGTGTCTGAATACAAGGTGGAAAAGAGGAATGGATSTTATTTTAAAACCCGTGAGGTAGGAAGGCACATTGACGTATCGAAATGGTAAATTTTGCATCTGATTTTTTTCGTTTTTATTTTATGATGAATCGAAAATGCGGATGGTTTGTAGGCTGCAATTGTATTCTTTGCAAAAATTAAGAGTTTTGAAAATTCATATTTTCGTCAATTTTAGTTCTAAMTCTTTTAAACTTTGAATTTTTATCAGCATCAATTTGACAAATGCTGGATGCTGGATTTCGCTTTCTAGCTTTCGTTAAGTAGAGGGCTCTAAAATCTAGCTAGAGCGTGATATTTGTCTGTTGATATCATTAAATTTCTTTCTTTATTACAAAAATATATTAATTATGTAAGGGCATTGTAGACCCCATGTCCAGCACTAGCGTATGGTATTCCCAACTGTTCCCTTGTCCCTTAGGGGTAGAAGTGCTAAACTAGTGTACCATTCCCATCCCCTTGTCCCATGAACATCTCCTGATTGTCTCCATGGCCCTTTGGAGTAGACTGCTAAATAAATAAATAAAAATAAAAAATAAATAAAATATGGCATGATTCGAGCTAACATTGAAATCGGGCAAGCCTGATATTACCGGATTCAATAAATTGTTTTTAAAATGTTAAAACATTTTAAGTACATTATGTCATATTATTGCCATTAATAATTCATATTTTTAGTGTAAAGTAAATCCGTGTCTTGATGGCAAACGGTGTTACTCACTCGGCGACCATAGCCACACAAGCTGCATTTAGAAAGGCAAGTATTTTAATTATTRATATTTAGTTAATAATATGTAATTAATCAGTTATTTCTTGATTAAATCCGCACGTTGCAACTCTAGAATGTGTTAAAAAACCGTGAAATAGGTATTAAACTAATTAAATAATAGTACAGTTATGTAAAAAGATAAATTTAACACCGTTAAATAATAGTAGTTGAACAGTGCGCTTTAGTGTCACTMTTGTCTTTTGTGTCAATGTTTTAAAGTTTTGTTTCAAGGACTTCATGACTTCAATCTAACTGTTTAGAGTTAATAGCCGACTGATTAAGCTAGGAACTATCAAGTCATCAACGAACTAAGTATTCGCCGAAGTATAAACACAATAACAAAGAAACTCAAATACACCATTTACTTTCATTATACATTTCCATCTTTTTTGTATGCACCTCTTGTGTTGTTTCGCCCCGTGTAAGAGAATCCGGAATCCGGAATCCACTAAAAAAACAGCTTTGGAATCCGGAATCCCTATATCCTGGAATCCGGAATCCAAATATTTGGAATCAATAATTTGGAATCCAGCAAAAAAATTGATATCTAAAAAACACATAGGACATCGTCCCGCTGACGCCCCTGCGCAGGCTACTGAAACGCTGAATATAAAATTTTCAGGAAAAAAACCCCCTGAAAATCAGGCCATTTATTATACAGAATCCAAAACAAAAATTCTTTGGAATCCGGAATCCCAAGGCTTGAAATCCGGAATCCAATGTTTCGGAATCCGGAATCCAGCGCTTGGAATCCGGAATCCTCTAGTTCTCTGGATTCTCTTACATGGGGCGAGTTGTTAGTGAGCACATGACATAGTTAATGACTAGGTTTATTAAACGAAAAATGTTTAGAATTATTGCACACTTTTCTGCCGTGCACTCCAATTATTATAATAATTATATAGCCACATATTAATCCCAATTAGGTAAAAGCTGGATTTTTCGTT